ACAGAGGGGACATGTACCTTCTACCCTTGTTTCTGAGGGTCAGCCACAGATGAGGCTCACACAGGGCAAGTGGCAAAGCGCCAGCCAAAACCAGAGTATACTGACCCCCTCCCAGAAGATTAACGGTATCTTGATGCACTGCGGATACAAATAAGTACCAGATTCATGACTGCCTGAACATAGTCTAAGTTAATCTTGACACAATTCTTGAAAATATTTCTATTTATTTTGAATCATTTTTACAAATCTTTTAGCATGTTGAAATGACATCTCACGTTATGAAGCCTCTACTCTGTGGATTACAGGTCTCTTCGTTTGTTTAGACCAATATCCTTATTTATACTTACTTATTAATCAAGGGGCCTGACAAGCTGCTGCAAATAAAACTGCTGCTGATTCAGTAGTTTGGTAGGAGGGTCATCTGAGGATTAGAGTCTATAAACAGTCTTTATGAAAAGATAATTTTTTTGTCAATTAATTGGCCTGGAGAATCTTGTCATTTCAATCTGTCATTGCTGAATTTTATTTTACTGCAATATTTTGAAATTAAGCAAAAAAGGAAAAGTGTCTAGTTAATGCTTTTGGAAAGCTCTCTGTTACTTAATAGCTTCTTTTTTTTTCATCTTAATTAACATTCTTAATTGACCTTCTGTGCTCTCTAATTTCTCCCAGTAAAGAATTAAAAAATAGGCTTCTAAAATCTTTTCTGCAAATCAGATTGACATGAAATTGCTTGTCTACAGATCATCTCTGTCTTAACAAACTTTTTTTTTCATTTGTATTTTTTTACCACTGAAGCCCCCACTGGAAATTACAGTCCGTTGAACCATAGAGCTAGAATTGATTGTGCACATAAAAAATCCTGGAACAATTGAACAAAGAAAAGAACTTCCTGGAGTCCGATGGTAAAATCAGAACTCAAGCGACAACTAAACTTTTACCCAGTTTGAACTCACCTGCCCTTGATCATTAAGAAAATATTTGATGTTCCTCCATTTTCCCCTGATGAGAGAAGGAACTAGTTTTTCCTTCATTTAGCCTACATCAAAGCATGGTTATCGATGTCAAAGAAGATGAATTTCAGTTGCCAACATTTTTATGGGGCACTCTCTATTCCATCTTCTTTATATTAATTTCTTATGCTTTTTGTAGAACATTGGAAAGCTAAGGCTAAAGAACCCTATCTAATTGCTTTTATTTTTAATTAATTTTTAATTAAAGCTTTATGTATCACACATAATTCCAGCAATCCTAAACATGGTTTTTACCATTTCCTTCTAAAATATAGAAGGCAAGTCTTCTTTTTAAGGTGTTGTGAGAAACTAGTCAGTTCTTTCTACTGGAGTTTATGGAAAGCATTACTAAAAATGCAAATTCTGTGTTTTGAGACTTGAAACTTGCAAATAACTATTAATCTTGGAGCTTACTTTTATATTCTGAGATGAAATAATGACATTTTAAGCACTTAAACCTTCACTAAGAGCAGGATAGGCAAGCATATACTTTGCTTCAAGCATCTTAATTAAGTTGATTCCACTGGTCTTTTCATGTGTTTAATGTTAAGCATATGCCTATGTACTTTTCTGAAATGCTGGATGGTATTTAGCAGAATGAATTACATCCCAATAACTAACATTTCTTTAAGAATCCTAATAACGTAGGAAGTATGCAAAATAAGCTTTCATTTCCAAGATAAACAGACAAAGCAACTTTTTGTGAGCATTGCCTTTTTATTGCTGCATCTAGCTGTAAATCATGTCTTGAAAGCAAACCCATCTTCTTTTTAAATGCATTTTTTGAAAAATAGTGCATTATTTTCTCCTGAGCTGTTGAAACAATTTCCTGCCTAGATCTGGTGCCCCATTAATTTTAGAGTATAAGAAAAAGTCACTGTGAGCCATAGGGAATAATTTTGGATTTGCTGCACATACATATATCACAATAGATTTGCCTATAGTAGTTCTACGGATGATGTTTAACAAATTTCTGTTTTCCCTGTTTTGGGATTAATGTCCTCCTTCCCTCAGATTTGTGCAGTAGCATAGCCTTATGCTACACATAAATGGAGGATTCCTTTATTTTCAGTGTGTAAAATTTGAAATTTGAATGCAATTACAGTAACAAGAGGAACTCTTTCTAATGAGTCTCAAAAGCCCTGGCCAAAAAACGTGTAAAACTTCTGTAGAGAAAGAAATTGAGTGCACGGAGTTAACATAATAGCAAGGACTGAGACAATGCTTTGCACTACAGTTTTATGGGATGATATTTTAAAAGGTATTCAGAGATTTATGACTTTTTAGGGACAGCTAAAATTGTTTTCACATTTCTAATATTGCTTTCATTAGAATGTTGAAAGTATGTTTACGGTATCAGATTGAATTCTAAGGTGTTACCAAATCATCCAGAATCCCCACTGCTTAAGTATATTCCCTTGTATCCCTATGTATCTTCAGAGGAAAAAATGGGAGGAATGCAAGTGCTTTGTTTTAAAGTATATAATCTGTATTCTGCCACGTACTTCATCTCCCAGGGAAGGTATCTGGGAACTCTGCTGTTTTTATTTATCCTGCCAGTGTAGTATATAGATGAGAGGACTAAGGTCCAATGGTGTTAAAACAAGACATGAAATATTGATTAATTCTTCTTTAAAATTCCCTTTTCCTCCTGAGTATAGCAAATTTCAGATGCTACTGTCAATATAGTACTCTCCAATAAACCTCCATTATTGGAAGGATCCTGATAGTGTTCTTATAAATGGTTATTATTATTCTAAATGGCTTTAAAAGCTCAAGGCTAGCATTCTTCCGGTGCAAGAGCAGAAAGCGAGTTAGAGAAGCAATGCAGCTTTTTATCATGGCAGAATGTTACTCTGAAATAACTTGAATCGGATTGGGAATTCTTTTTGCTAGACAGTAGCAGAACGTTCGGTTTGAAGAAATGAAGATCCTAACGGGGCAGATAAACAGATGTACAGTTTCGTGGCTATAAAGGTGTGAAGTAAAGAAGCACAATTATAGCTGGTGTCCACCTAATGAAACACAGGTATTTGACACCCTGCCTGTGGTTCCCACTTGTCATTCTTCAGTGCTAAGTTAACCCTTTATTTATTGTTTCCAGAATGGTCCTTTACAAAAGCAGCTAAACAGATACTTAGGAGTTTCCCCAAGGAAAAGAATGTTTCAGGAATGGTAGGGATAGAAGTTCACACCAGCTAACCCGTGAAGGATGATAGACATGGGCAAGGAAAGGAAGATGTAGCCCAAACTACTTTGAGTGTCCTTGAGTACAGTAAAACTCTCTGGAAGTTGAGGTAATTGTTTTTCACTAAAAAAAATAAGATTTGTTTGAACTGGAGCATACTGGAGTTTCTTTAGGAATGTAAAGCTCTTGGAGCTTTTCTACTATCCATAATAACAGGTATTCATCAGAGAAGGAATTTGAATCTCAGTCCTGTATGTGTCAGTAAATGTCATTATAAAGGTTGTAGAACTACTTTTTCACCCATCATCTTAATTAGTATTTAGTCAAACTTCAACAAGAAAGAGCAAGGAAGTAACAGAGAATCTGAGCCAAAAGCCACTGATTGGCAGATTTACCCGGGAGGCAGGAGACCGTAGTACGTTCTTGCTCTGAACCAGGAAGAAACATCTGAGGTTGGTTCTTCTGTCTCACAGGAAAGTTGGGTTTTATAGGCTGGATAAGATGCTATGTGATTTTTTTTTTCCACATGAAAGCTTTATTCCTACCCCAGGATGAAAATGTTTTCAGAAGATTTTGTTGATGGGGATAACTGATTCGCACATAGGCCTACTTGGAAGTTCTTTTGCAGCAAAACTTAATTGTGTGCAAACCTTAGGCTACTTTAACTTATGATGGAGAACAGATTGCTCCCTGCCATACCCAAAAGCTAAGAGCTAAAAGATGTGGCACAAAGGTAAATTAGCCCCTCCTCTCACTCACACCCAACTCTCTCAGACTGAGCCGAAGTTGGGGCTCTATTAAGTTGGTTTTATGACTTTTGTGATATCTTTCTTTGGAAATTGGACAAGTTATTTGTAATTTTAAGGTAATTATTTTCATTGATTTCAGTCAAACTGAAAGCAATACATGCACAAAGCTGGACTTCAGCCAGTTTTTAAGCAGTGAGGACTAAGTGTGTTCTTATTACTTACGAGGTTTTAAAACAGTAAGTCTTGCTTGCCCAGGTTATATGGGTAGCTCTGTTGACTCCCAGTCCCCCATTGGTAACACTTGTGTGAGTAGAGTGAACAGGATCTGGTCTGCAATTAACAATGCATACGTTTGCTCGCATAGCCAATGTGTGAGCCAAATCCTTACACATGTCATTTGTTCACACTCATGCAGGTAATACTTTTGGACTGATTTAATGCAACTAGTTATTTGAGAAAAGGTTATCAATCTGGGCACTGCCCTTTTGTGTTTTTCTCTCTGCTATGTTATCTTAAAGAATGATAACACAAAATTACCTAAAGGGTTACGCACAGAATTTTGTTTTTCAAAGCCTTGTATTAGATGGTTTTCTACCAAAATGTCCTTAAGTTTCATTACTGAGTGAATTTTCAATCTGAAGATAGCCCACTGCAGATTAAGATTTTGCTTGTGGAAGAGGGTGGTGCATACTCACATGCACACAGCACAAACTCTGCCAGTAGTTTGCTTTTCGGTGAACTTCATCTCATTTAACACGGTCTACTAATTGCTGTCTTTTGAATGTAAAAATAAATTATCTTCTGCCTTATGGGAGATGCATTGTTTGACTTCGGATATTTAACATGGTATTTTTTCTGTGGACAATAGCTCGAGGCCCCAAGCTGGCAAGAATGAGAGCATATCTATAAATAATTCAAAATAATTGTATGGTTTTGACAGATTGTCAAGTTGCTTAATGCCTTTTGTCCCAGGTAATAGATTATATTTCTTTGATAAAGTGTTGATAATTTCTCATTGCAATTTGTTTTGTGTATGTTGTATTTTTACAGAGTCCAGTCAGGTTCATATCTCAGTACGGGTTGGTTTACCTTAATTTTGGCTATGGATGCCTGCTATGGAATTCACGTCTATGGGATGATAAATGACACCTACTGCAAGTAAGATCACAGGAAATTATTTTCATGCATCTACAATTCTGATGTCTTGTCAAAATTTCACAATTGATTTTAATATCATAAATCCAAAAAATGGATCAGGCAATCATTTCCCAGTGTTTTGCATTGATGTGACACTATTGTCAGCATAGTTAGTCCTGATATGGCATTTGCTGTTGATAAAATAAAAACATTTACAAAAATCTAACATCAGATGTCATAAGGAACTATTTTTAATCAAAGATCTTCTGCAGTTTCTGAATTAGCTGGAAACAAAGTATGTTCATAGTCTTCTGACAAAAATGTACTTACTTCTACTGCTAAAACAAATCTATGGAGGAAATACGAATATATTAGTTCTCTGAATATCAAATACACCTGGAAGTGAAAGGAACTGATTAGCCCAGGATAGTTACCTGAAATTACATTTCACCACCATTGAGCGACCTACTTGAACTTTCTAGGTTATATATGGCTTGTTTCGAGTAGTAGGGGGTTTCTAATTAGATAATAAAACAAGTCCTGCAAGTTTTATCACAGTAAACTGACATAAATTCCAACCAACTACTGTTAGTGACCTTACGGTGACAATGGATTAATCCTATTGTCAGAAGTGTAACTCTAAACACAATTTTTAAAAGTCCAAGTTAAATGCTTTAATCTACAGTATATGGTAGCAAAATACAAAATGAAACTATTCCTCATTCAGAAAAGCAGGAAATGTCATAAACAATGATGATATTAGTACAAATCTATTCTTCTGTACCTAGGCTGGTTCAAGTCTTGCATGTGACCAGTCCAGTGGGTACTCCTAAAGTCTTTGTGCAGACCCTCACTCCACATTCTGTGTTAACTCCAGTGTGGGAATCATTCCTGGCAGATCCTAAAAAAAAAAAAAAAGGAATTTGAGTCTCAGCTGTTTAATTAGGGTATCTTAACATTAGAGGCTGACTTGTTAGAACTTGCAAATCTCACTGATTGAGTGAGTCATCCAGATGGAATGAACATATGTTGGTCTTTGTTTATGAAAACACAGTAGGCGCCCTGAGATAAGGGTGACAAGACTAAAGTTGTCCTCACAGAGTTCAGGGCATTGCATAGCCCTGACGTACACCCAGTAAACAGCATGACAGCAATTCAGTCTGTGGCAGCAGAGAAGGATGGGTTTCCTTAAAGCTGCAATTCTTACTGCATTACCTACTTATAATGTATATCATTCTTATAACTGCCTTATTCAGCCAGTTCAAGAACCAGTTTCAAGAGCTGGGACTACCCAATGAGAAGACTTTGCTTAGGGATGGAGCCTTATGGACTGAGTTCTCCCAGGTTAAACAAAATGTGCAGTATCCATAAAAGCCAGCCCATCAGCTTCTTAGTGAATGATAAGATCAGTGTATTTTGAGAGATACACGTAGCTTCATTTTCTGTAGGAAAATTCATACAAATCATGCTGTAATGAAAGCCCTTATACAATTTAGCAAAGGAGCTCAGGTGCTGACACATGGAAAGGATTTCAGTGAATTCAGGTGCAGTATATATTCATGTTTTTCTTGGAAATAATACCTAAGTGTATCTTTTTTTCCCTAGGTCAGAAGGCTTTCGTAAAGTTCCCTACCACTATTACGAGCCAGGAAGAGATGAGTGTGAGGAATACTTTCTGCATGAAAACGCTCCATATGGAGGCCATAGGTTTATCACAGAAAAGAACGTATTTGCTAAATGGGCCAAGAAGCACACAATAATATTTACACACCCCAACTGGACAGTGTCTTGATATTGGTTTTCTTAACTCTCCCTTAACAGCATATTACAAAAATGTCTCAGTTTACAATAATTTTGCTTACGTCTGGCTGGCCTTTCTCAGCTTAGGTAACACTAGACTAAAAACTAAAAGACAAAGAGGGTGATGGTTCAGCTGTTAAGCAAAATTAATCTGTGGAAGGCAGACACATTGTTTGTTATTTCTTAGGGTTTTACTCCACACAATGCACTTTATACTTTAACTGGATTTTACTTCAAGGCAGCAGTAGTTAAAGACAGGTGAGATTTCCTGTATATACAGGTGCACACAGAGAACATGGTGGTCCTTTAAAACTTGTCCATCACCTTAGTTAATTAAAATTAGTATTTGTAGCTCATTTGCAGTACTGCAGCACTAGTTCCATTTGTGGTATTAGTAAAAATTTTCCACAAAAGAAATATGAGGAAAAATACAGACCTCCAAGGTCTATGAGTGAGTAAATTTTAAAAAACACCTGAATACATTGATACATGTGAGCACTTGCATATATGGTAAAATTAGAGATGAGCTAAACATGGTTCTTGAACTGTACACAACTCTCGCATGAGAAGTTATTATTTACTCAAAGCTCCTGATTAATTCATAACTTCTGAAACGCAGTTTCCTTCCACCCTGGTCAGGCTGCACCATCTTAGATGATGTGTTTTGTACTTTTTGAGGCTGTTGTCCCACAGTTTAGCTCCAGCAGCGTGGCACTTAGCAAAGACTGTGTTTTGCAGCCCATGCTGAACCTTTGGCTCTTGTAGCAAGCCTGCTGTCAGTACCCAAGCTGGTTAGTGTAAAGTTGTGTCATTAACATCTCCATTTACTCCAGTTGTGCTTTTGAGTTGCTCCAACATCCAAACACTAGTATCTTGACAGTATTTCCCATGCAGCCATCATAATTTATTTTAAATATCCAGTTTCTCTATCTTTAAAAACGGGGATAGTAGCTATCTACCTTACAAGGGAGTTGTGAGGATTAATTTAAGTCCATAAAGCACTTTCCTGATGAAGAATGCTACAAAGCATTTATTCTTAACACAAAAATAATGGTACCTGTCACTTATTCTTGTCTGTTGGGTATTTGAAGAAAGTGACAGCGTGTCTGGATCTGATGGCGAATTGTTCTGTGCATCCGCTTTCCTACTGAGGATAATTTGTAATACTGAGTTCTCTCAGCTTGCATTGCTTCAGATGGAGTTGAAAGAAGTTGCCACCTCGCAGTATTATCTGCACATCAAGAGGCAGTTCAAGAACTTTAAAATATACTCATCTCTAGTTGAAATATGTATTTCCAAGCTTACTCATATGGAAATTTTTCAACTGCAGCAGACTCATTTGTAATATGACCATAATTCAACTATACATGTGAGTTTTATTTAAACTGTATTTAAATTAATGCTTTAAGTTTAGAATGTGTCCTACAAATATTGTAACATCTGGAATGTCAGATTCAACACTGTAATAGCCAATACTGTGAACACTTGAAAGAATTATGTGTGGAACATGACACACAGGGTTTACTCACACTACTTAAACATTAACCAACAGGAAACTTTGTATGCTTTTGTAAATCATGAAAAGGGGAAAGTAAAAAGCTATTTTTACATGTAAGTATTTGTATACTGACTATTTGCTATTGTATATTTGTATATATAAATCTATATTTTATATGTTCATAGCATATATATTCTCGCATCAGCAGCTGCAACTCTTAGGATGGGGAGGAAATCTCTTCACCAGTGTTTCTCCTCCTGATCATTGTTTTCTTGTTCCTGTTGGTAGGTGATGCCAGGGTATCATCTCTCTTGCCCCTTCTATTTTCTACTGTAAATGCAGCTTTCTGATTTTATTTTTAATATAGCTCAGCTTTCACTGCTTACTTAGTGCTGTAAGTGTTCTTGCTGGTTGTCAGACAAAGGCTGGGGCCATGTTTATGATCCTGGATAAACATCTCTATTCAAATACAGGCTCTGTCCCAGACTTCCTGCATGACTTGATGTCTCACCTTCCTGTTCGGAAAAGGAGAACAATAATATTTTCCTACTCCCTGTCTTGACTGACGTTCTTGTAAGCTCTTGAGACGGATATTCTCATTTGCAATGTATTTGTATAATGCCTTGCAGAAGAGGTGCCCAAAGTGTCTGAAGGCTACAGGCAATGCTATAATATACAGATAATTTAAAGTGGCTGCTTCTTGTCCCTGGAGTTTAAAATAAATTGTAGGCTAATATAGCATTGGATGAAATCAAGAGGGGGAAGGGTCATGGATGGATGAAGAGTTGTAGTAGCAAAAGACAGTGAGCTAGATTTATCGCCATATGCATATGCATCTTTTCAGTTCAGATGGATGGCTGGATAGGTGGAAAGCTAATAAAAAAATTGTAATGCAGGATTTGTGCAGGACACGCAGAACTAGGGAGAATGTTCCACACACATTGTACAGGGCAGGCTGGGAAAACCTATAGCTCCCTTGTGGGAAGAGGAGCTGAAAAGGAGAACATCAGTCAAATTGAACTTGTATTTAGAAGGTCTTTGGGTTAATAGAAAGTTACTATGAAAGTGCTGCACATGGAAGTGCAGTTGGGCTGGACAGACTTACATGAGAAGTGTCCTCATGAAGCATAATCTTTCTCCCCAAGAAGCACAGCATAAGGATTCTGCCTGAGTTGTGTTCACATGCAAGGCAGTTTTTAAGCCTGAGAAAGTTTTTAAGATAATTAAGACTTGCCAAATCACCATAAATCTGTTGTAAAATATGTGCTTCACACTGAAGCTCCTTGTAGAGTGCTTGCGTGCTGTATGAAACAATATCTCATGCAAAGGCTAGCTAAGAAAAATATAGCTCTAAGAACAGCTAAATGTACAGCAAAATTGAGAACATCATTAGAGTGCAGTTGTCACAGAGCAAAGTAAAAGTGTTGCTCTCTGCTTGGATCTGCAGTAAGAGCAGATCCACTTTTAGAAACATTGCAGCAGGCTTCATTCACACTAGAGTAAATGAACATCAGTTCCCTTATTTAAATGAGCCTGTCTTTAGCATAAACTAAACACATATTTGCATGATTTTTATTATATGAGTAAGGAGCTGTGACCGCTGTGTTAAAGATGATTCTACAAAGAAATGACTTTGTCAAAATCTGTTAAAAATCAGCACTGTGGTACTGAAGAAAGAATCTCAGTACTTGGCTGTGTAGTAAGAGACCTTGATGATTCACCTTCTGAGAGCAGTTAAGACATCAGCTGAGAATCATTTATTAATTCTCTAAAAAAAAAATACACTACAGTTTACCTGAATGTAATCAGATCCTAATTGCTTATTCATTCAAGCAGTCCTATTTTAATCAACTACTCATGTGTATAAAACAAGCAGGGAGTTTACCTGAGGTTTTCAAAATAGATCTTCACATTGCTGCTAATAGAGGAATACTCACAAATAATTTGGCTTTTTTTTTTTTTTGCCATCAGCTAAGTAGTCGCCAAATGTTTTCTTTTATAATTTAGTTAGTTTTTTTAAATACACTTTTTGAAGGGGAGGGAAAAAAAAGGCATTTATTGTTTGGCTTGCTGTAGGATTGGTTTTAATAACCGTTTAAATGTTAATACACTTTATGTTTTATGTTGCATTACCTTCTGATTTAATTTTTTTTCAAGGAAAAAAAAGGTTTTAAATAGGAGCAGAAATTTTCCTAAGAAAAAAAAATATTTTGACTGGTTAATTACTAATTCACAGGTAATTGACTGAATAACATAAAAAACTAGGTTTTGTTTTTCCAAACAGATATAGCAGACGTGATCCCAACCTTCTCATCCCCACTAGATGTCCAGATCACATCCCCCTGCTTATACCAAGGCCTTCTCACAGAAAGAAAAAAGTAGTCTATGTATCCAGCCAAATTCCCTTTCCATCTGGGCTGGGAGGCTCCATCTGCAGATTGCTTGTATCAGTTACATCAGTAAGCGGGGAGGACTGAGGAAGAGTTCTACTTAGGAGCAGATGGTGTTCCAACTTCTAAAAAATGCCCCTAAAGTGCTTTAGGAGAGGAGTACCCATTTATCTCTCCTGGAAATACTTTTCCAAAGTATTCTGTTTCTTCAAATGCCTTTAGCTCCTGTGTAGGACTATTGTCCTACTCTCTCCAGTAGGAATTACCAGCAATGGCAAAACATGCCCTTTACAGGAAAAAGTAGAGACAAATTCTGTGTTGTTAAAGATTTCTATATAAACAACACCAGGGATGAAGAAGTCAGCCTGACACAACTTAAATTATCTGAAGTCTCACCGATTTAGGAATCTCTGAGGACTCAATTCAAAACTAATGGAAATCACTTTGACAAGTTCATGAGTACAGCACTCATCCCAGTAAAATCTTTGCACTCCTGGGTACTAAGGTAAGCAGTGTTTTGTCTGAGAAGTACCATGTGCACGTAATGCATTGCATAGCTAATAAAGACCTGCAACACCTGGAGGGCTGATGCAGACGGTCTTTATTCGCCTGCTCGTGGGCTGGACAAAAGTAGGACCCCACACAAAGATTGCTGGCAGCAGAGCACAGATGCTCAACCAGAGGACATGTCCAGGTAAGTAAGAATTAAGTAAGTAATCACTCATGAATTATAACTGGATGGTGCCCTTCGTATGTAGAAAATCAGAAGCACTTTACATACTGATGCTTATATTTTGCTGATTTTTTTTTTCCTGCCTGTATCTCAGAAATAGCATATGTCCTTAGTTGTGCTCAAGCGAGTCTGGGGTTTGTTTATGATGAACCTTAGGGCACAGAGTGAAACTCTGTGTTAGTGCCAAAGGATCATAGAGGAGCTGTCTGTGGGTATTGTGATGTACTGCGTACAAGAGAGTCATGTATTTACTGCATACAAGAGAGTCATGTATTTACTGAAAAAGGCCTGGTTTTCCTGACTAGGCATAATTCTTTTGAGGAGAAAGTGTCTCATTTTCAGCAGATGTGTCTCATTCTGTTCCTTCTTTC